TATACCCTCAGATGATTTCTGATTGCTCATTAACCTCCTTTTCTTTCAGATTGAAGGACTCCCTTTAGCTTTTCTTTCTTTCTTTCTTTCTTTCTTTCTTTCTTTCTTTCTTTCTTTCTTTCTTTCTTTCTTTCTTTTTTAAGGACAGGTCTGGTGTTGATGAAATCCCTCAGCTTTTTCTGTCTTTATTTTTCCTTCATGCGTAAAGGATATTTTTGCTGGATATACTATTCTAGAGTAAAAGTTTTTTCCTTCAGCACTTTATATGTGTCATGCCACTCTCTCTCTGGTCTGTAAAGTTTCCACTGCAAAGTCTGCTTCCAGACATACTGGAGCTCCATTGTATGTTGTTTCTTTTCTCTTGCTGCTATTAGGATCCTTTCTTTATCCTTGAGCTTTGGAAGTTTGATTAACATCTTGAGGTAGTCTTCTTTGGGTTAGATTGGCATGCCATTCTATAGCCTTTTTGTACTTGAATATTGATATCTTTCTTTAGGTTTGGGAAGTTCTGTGATATTATCTGTTTGAAGAAACTTTCTACCCAATCTCTTTATCTATTTCCTCAAGGCCAATCACAAATTTGCCGTTTTCAGGCTATTTTCTAAATCTTGTAGGTGTGCTTCATTCTTTCTGATTCTTTTTTGATCTCCTGTATGTATTTTTTTTTCTTTGTGTGTGTGTGAGAGATGGACTTTCACTCTTGTTGCTCAGGCTGGAGTGCAGTGGCATGATCTCAGTTCACTGCAACCTCTGTCTCCTGGGTTCAAGTGATTCTCCTGCCTCAGCCTCCCAAGTAGCTGGGATTACAGGCATGCACCACCACACCCGGCTAATTTTTGTATTTTTAGTAGAGACAGGATTTCACCATGTTGGTCAGTCTGGTCATACACTCCTGACGGCTGAGGTGATCCACCCACCTTGGCCTCCCAAAGTGCTGGGATTACTGGCGTGAGCCACAGTGCTCCTCTGTGTATTTTCTAATAGACTGTCATCACTCTCACTAATTCTTTCTGCTTGTTCAGTTCTGCTATTAAGGGACTGGACTCTGATGCATTCTTCAGTATGTCAGTTGCATTTTTTGACTCTAGAATTTCTGCTTGATTCTTTTTAGTTACTTCAATCTCTTTGTTAAGTTTATCTCATAGAATTCTGAAATCCTTCTCAATGTTATCTCAATTTCTTTGAGTTTCCTGAAAACAACTATTTCGAATTCTGTCTGAAAGGTCATATCTCTGTTTCTTCCGAATTGGTCCCTGGTGCCTTATTTAGTTCATTTGGTGAGGTGATGTTTTCCTGGCTGGTGTTGATGCTTGTAGATGTTTGTCTGGGCAATAAAGAGTTAGGAATTTATTCTAGTCTTTGCAATCTGTGCCTGCCCTTCTTAAGAAGGCTTTCCAGGTATATAGAAAGACTAGGGCCCCAAGCTCAGTAATGCTGTGGTTCTTCCAGACTCGTAGAGGTCCCACCTTGGTGGTCTTGGATAAGATTAGGAAGAATTCTCTGGATTGCCAGGCAGAAACTCTTTTTCTTTTATTTTCTCCCAAACAGAGTCTCTCTGTGCTGAGCCACCTAGAACTTGGGGTGAGGTGATGCAAACACCCATGTGGCCACCATAAGTGGAACTGCCCTGGGGCAGACATGAAATCAGCATAGCACTGGGTTTTGCCCAAAGCCCATTATAACCACCACCTGGCTACTGCCTATGTTTGTGCAAGGCCTTATGCCTCTACAATAAGCAGATGTTGAAGCCAACTAGGTTTGTGTCCTTCTCTTCAGGATGCTGAGTTCTCCCAGCCCCAGGCAGGTCCAGAGATGCTATCTGGGAGCCAGGGATTGGAGTAACTACCTTAGAAATATGTCTTACTCTCCTGCGACTAGGCTGGCACCCAAATCACAAGACAAAATCCTTCCCACTCTTCCCTCCCCTTTCCACAAGCAGAGGAGCCCCTCCCTGTGGCCACTGCCACCACTGACCCATGGCGAGTTCTGTCTGACCACCAATGTTCACTTAAGGCCCAAGGGATCTTCAGCCAGCTGTGGTGAATGTTGCCAGGCCTGGGACTTACCCTTCAGGGTAGTGAACTCTGGCACAGAGCAGGTCCAAAAATGCTATCCAAGAGTCTGGACCTGGGGACCCCAAGAGCCCGTTGGTACTCTACACCACTGTGGCCAAACTGATACCTGAAGCTGGCACGTCTGAGTCTCACCCAAGGCCTGCAGCATACTGCCTGTGCATTGCTATTGGTTACTCAGGGCCCATGGGCTCCTTAGTCAGCAGGTGATGAAACCTGGCAAGACTGGGTACTTCCTTTAGGCAGAGGGTTCCCTTCTGGCCCAGGGTGTGTCTAGAAATGCTGTCTGGGAGCTAGGGCCTAGGATGGGGGCCTCACAATTCTGCCAGGTGCCCTGTCCTATTTTGGTTCAGTTGGTATCCAAGATGCAAGACAAAATCCTTACTCTTCCCTCTCCTCTCCTCAAGCAGAAGGAAGGAGTCACTTTTGTTGTTGTGAGCTGCACTGCCTGGGGTTGTGGGAGGGGTTGCGGAAGCACTTCCTTAGCCACCCCAACTGGTGTCCCGTGTCCACTGGCTCTGCACTCAGCACAGAACAGGACTTACCTAGGAATTGCAGTCCCTGTGGTCTAGAGTGCTTTTCAGGTTTATTTAGGACCTCAGAACACTTTGGCCCACAGAGTTAAGGCTTGTTGAAATTCAAGTTCTGACCGCTGGGATGGGCAATTCCTCTCTGACTAGGGCTGATCGAGATGCTCCTTCTGTTGATGGATCGGCATCTGCTGAGTTTAACTCAGTTTTGCTTTCTGCTGTGACCAGGCAACACTGAGTTCAATGCAGGATCCCACAACCACTGTACTTTCTCTCTCTCAAGGGCACAACACCTGCTACTGCTAGAGGAATGGGGGAGTGGCAGTGTTACCAATTCAAGACTATCTTTCCTACCTTCTTTCAGTAATATGAGGTTAAAACCAGGTACTCTGATTGCTCACCTGATTTCTGGTTCTTTTGAAGTTGCTTTTTTTGTGTGTATAAAGACGTTAAATCAGTGTTCCTGCATTGGGGGACGATTGGTGAAGGCTTTTATATTCAGCCATCTTGCTCAGCCCTCTCCTGATTGAACTATTTCTTAAAAATTATTGTGGCTGGGCACAAAGGCTCACATGTGTAATCCCACTACTTTGAAAGGCTGAGGCAGGAGGATCACTAAGGCCAGAAGTTCAAGACCAGCCTGGGTAACATAGCAACAACCCATCTCTACAACAAATAAAAAAATTATCTGGGCATGGTGGTGCATGCCTGCAGTCCCAGCTACTTTGGAGGCTAAGGTGGGAGGACTGCTTGAGCCCAGGATTCAAGGTTGCAGTGAGCTATGATCTTGCCACTGCATACCAGCCTGGGCAACAGAATGACACCTTGTCTCGAAAAGATTAAATAATTTATTTATTTTAAAGAGTTTTCGTTATGCTTAAATATTTTTTTTTGTTTTTTCTTTATGCTTGAATATTTTCAAAATAAAAATTAGGGAAAACATTTCTCTCTCATGTTTATATTCGAATAATTCCATTGGCCTTCAAACTCTAGCTAGTCTTTCTTGGCATATAAATTATTCTCTGAGGAGTATCTAAAATAATAATTTCTCTTTTTTTCTTTCTTTTTTTTTTTTTTTAGAAGGAGGCTCACTCTATCACCCAGGCTGGAATGCAATGGCATGATCTCAGCTCACTGCAATCTCTACCTCTAGGTTCAAGCGATTCTCCTGCCTCAGCCTCCCGAGTAGTTGGGACTACAGGCGCGTACCACCATGCCCAGCTAATTTTTGTGTTTTTATAGAGACGGAGTTTCAGCATGCTGACCAGGCTGGTCGTGAACTCCTGACCTCAGGTGATCTGCCTGCCTCAGCCTCCCAAAGTGTTGGGATTACAGGTGAGAGCCACTGTGCCCGGCCATTCCTCATTTTTAACTTCCAACTTCTTCAGAACAATTACTAAATATATCATGCCACTTTGTATTAATGGGTGATTTACATTTTTAAATCATTCAGTCAACTGCAAGCTCTTTAAGGTAAGGTCTGGATTTTATATAATGCTGCACAAAACTGATCTCAGTGTATTACTCATATTACACCACGTCTGTTAGTGGTTATTAAGTTAAGCCAGCAAACAATAACTTTTTTACTCCAGCTTGCCAGGAGGAAAAAAAAAAAAATAGAAGTCAAGCAGAGAGTCTATCTAAAATATCAGCATATTGTTTGTACAGCATAAAATTCATACAGCAATCAAAGAGTTTTACAGTCTCTACCTAGATGCTCATTGTTATTGAATGACTCATATTCTTTATAAATTTTATTTAAAAGTTGCAGTCTAAGTCTTAACTTTAACATGATTAACAGTATTATGTTTTTTCTTTATGTTTTGAATTTTTTTTTGTAGACATGGGGTTTATTTTGCCCAGGCTGGTCTTGAATTCTTGCCTCAAGAGATTATCCCCCTTTGGCCTTTCAAAGCACTGGATTACAGGCATAAGCCACCACTGTAGGCCAAAGTACTTTGTCTTTAAATAAGGGGTTTATAAGTAAGTGTATAAATCATATATCACTAAATTTTACCATATTTTCCTGAAGTAGTAGATAAAAAATAATTTTTTTTTGAGACATAGTCTTGCTCTGTTGCCAGGCTGGAGTGTAATGGCATGTTCTCTGCTCACCGCAACCTCTGCCTCCTGGGTTCAAGCGATTCTCTTGCCTCACCCTCCAGAGTAGCTGGGATTATAAGTGTTTGCCACCATGCCTGGCTAATTTTTGTATTTTTAGTAGAGATGAGGTTTCACCATGTTGGCCAGGCTGGTCTCAAACTCCTGACCTCATGATCCGCTGCCTCAGACTCCCAAAGTGCTGGGATTATAGGCGTGAACCACCATGCCCAGCTGAAAAATACATTTAAATTAATTCATAGGTGGATGGGGAAAAAAGGCATATAATGAGAACAAGTGATCTGTCCTAAATCACACAATCAATTCTCAATACTTTATATCTCTTTTCAATGATGCATGCTTGTTTTCTACTTGATGAGTTGGATTGTACCTTACAAGAAACCTAAAATAAATCGTTAGGTCAGGAAATGTGACTTTGATTCATTAAAAAATATATATTTATGCATAATGTATTCTTATACCTGTAATTTATAAATATTCATAAAGATTTCTATGCTTCAGTCTGTTTCTTGATATAGGTCTATTTCATTTATATAATCATAAATAATATGTCAGTATTTATTTTGCTGATTTAAGGTTTTCATCCAAAAGTTCAACAATGGCTTCTTCATCTGCTGATTGAAGCAGTCTCTGAATTAGCTGATCCAGGCTCTTCCCACCACATACAAATTCCTGGTAAAAGAGAGAGCTATAATGAAACCTGATGATTAGAAATACAAACAAAGACTTTAATGTTTATTTCATTTCTTTGCAGTTATTATTTAATAACAATAAAAGATTACTGGCGTTCTACAATATAATGAACATGATTGGTAACTTGGGAATATCCCCACTCTGCAATAAGAATTAAGTTAGCATTTAATTTTAAAATAAATCTTCTGAGATTTGGATTTTTCTAACAACTCTGGAGACAACAAAATGAAGAGATCTAAATGGACTTTTGAAATTGACCACCTCCCTCTCTTTAATAGTCCATTGGTTGGCTTTTATGACAATACCATTCTAGGCTCTCAACATCTTTGGGAGAACTGGTTTGTTGCTGAATTGTACCCTAAAAAAATGGCTTAATTCTTGTCCTGAAAATTCTACCCTTTTCACTCACGTTATTTCCCAAAGGAAAAAGACTGACAGGTCTCAATTCCTCTAGCATTTTGTTCCACAAGCATTTTGTGCATTAATGTGCATACTGCTCTTTGCCAACTCTTCTGGATGTGGCTTAGAGGACGCCTCCCCCAACCATTTCAGGACAAGAATTTCTGTATGTTTTATGTTGTAAATATTCTGTATGCTGTCTCCTCAGCAGGATATGGCTATCTTGCATAGGAAAATAGTAGCCATGTTGAAAAGGAGGAAAATATTTGCAAAGTTCCCTTTCCTCTGGAAACATACAGTATTAACCAAACATGTTTGGCCACATTGTTCTAATTACACCATGTTCTTTCAGTTGTTTTTCTGGTAGCCGTGACAATTTTCTGGGAGACAGCCACATTCTCGTGACCAGTAATATCTTTCAGATGGGCCCTTAGGTGCACAGTATAGTATTCAGTTGTGAAACAAAGGCAAGGTAACTAACTGGCTTCTGTAGTTATAAAATATCTGACTTTGGCCTAACTAATAATAAATGACTAACCAAACTAGCATGCAAAACTCGGAAGTAATAAGGAAAATAACACTGATAAGCTCTAATAATCACTAACTAGTCTACTGGAAGGAAAGAAGACATTCCATAGTAGTAAAAGGAACAGAATTAAAAACAGCATGAAAAACATGCAGAAATTTACAAACATATGAACAACACAGGCATTTCCCTTGTAAAACCAGGCCTTTAATTTTGAGTACAGAATGGGACAGAGTCAAGTAAAGAAGCCTTAGATATCACACGGCACCAAGGAAAAGGATCAAAGCTTTCTGTCTGCTGCCTTTTCCACATAGTCCTTTATGGAACCAGTTCACCTCCTTCAGAGGCAGCAAAACAGACATTTTTCTGCACTTCATCATTAATATATTTATGTCAGTGGTCTTTGCTAGATGCTATTTAGGTAGGTTAATGTTTGAACAATCTTGACAGAGTCTTTTCCCCAACAGCCTAACTGTAACACCTCAATCTAATGAAGACACATTGTGGTAGGGAGAATACTAAGATGCCTCCTGGTGTACACACCGTGAATAACTCCCTCTCAGTGCAGACAGAGCCTGTGAAAATGACGGAGTATCATTCTAGTGTCTAGGTGACTAAGCAGTTGCTTTTGAGTTAATCAAAATGAACATTATCCAGGTGAGCTTGACCTAAACAGGTGAGCCCTTAAAAGGCCCAAGCCATTCCTGCAAGAAGAGATTCAAAGTGGGAGAAAGTCTCTGGAGGGAGCCACTGGGAAGCAACTTCCAGCAGTATTTGGGTGCTGAAAAGCAGCCTCTAGATGACTGCCAGCAAAGGAATGGGGACTTCAGTCCTATAATCCAAGACAATGGCATTCTGCTGGCAACCACATAACCTTGGAAGAGGGCTCCAAACTCCAGAAGAGTATGCAGCCTGGCAAAGCCTTGATTTCAGCCTTGTGAGATCCTGAGAAGATAACTAGGCTCAGTTGTGCCTGGATTTCTGACCTACAGAAATTATAATATTATTTTTTGAGAATGGAGTTTTACTCTTGTTGCCCAGGCTGGAGTGCAATAGCTTGAACGTGGCTCACCGCAACCTCTGCCTCCTGAGTTCAAGTGATTCTCCTGCCTCAGCCTCCTGAGTAGCTGGGATTACAGGCATGTGCCACCACATCTGGCTAATTTTTTATTTTTAGTAGAGATGGGGTTTCTCCACGTTGGTCAGGCTGGTCTTGAACTCCTGACCTCAGGTGATCTGCCCGCCTCAGGCTTGAGCCACAGCACCCAGCCAAGAAAATACTTTAATCATAGGTACTGCTTTAATTGCTATATTTCTGGTAATTTGTTATCCGGCAATAGAAAATCAATATACATTTACATATGCAGATTGAATATATGTTCATATATTGTGATTGCATAATGGAGAATTTGGAATTTAGAAAAGATCATTGTTTCAAAATGGCATAAAGATCATTAATTTTTTAACCAGCAAACTAATAAAAATGTTTGCAAATTTTAGGGTGGCTTGATGATTTAAATTACTTGATAACATTTTAGATATACTTGGTAATATCTACATAAAGGTTCTAGAGTTTGACTAATTTTCTTCTGAAATCAAGGGTACACAAATATTACCTTAATATCACGAACTTCATATGCTATCCTGTGGTCAGTGACTCTATCCTGGGTGAAATTATATGTCCGAATTCGCTCTGACTGGGCTCTTGTTCCCACCTGTGCCATAACAAAAGGCAATTTACATTTTACCTTTATAAATATCTTCATTACAATGGAAAAAGCACTTGGTAAATGACTATTCCAACAATTTAGATATGTTCTAAAAGTCATAGATACAAAATGGCAAAGAACAAGAATGGGCAGAACTTAATGTTTAATACTACAGGTTTGTAGAGTGCAGTTATAGAATAAGAAGGAATGTTTCTTTGCTATTTCAAACTCCAAATATTTAAAATCACATTAATCATCTTTCCACTCCAATAAGTTCTTCCTCCTGGTTTCCACAAATGACAGCACCATGTATTCCCTTTTACCCAAGTAGCAAATTCTGACATTCTGCAATTTGTCAAACATTTTGTGGGTTTGAGTTTACTATGCCAGGCTTTGATACAGATGCATACAGGGGGAGAAACCATCTTCAATTCATCCTATTCTCTAACTGCCCATTTCCAATTGGTTTCATGGGTCTCCTATTATATCCTGCCCTTTCCATTTCTACTCTCACTCATGGACTCATTACTTTAACCTACAATTCTACAGAAACCTCCTGATTAATCTCCCAGTTTTCTGCTCACATTGTGCTGCCCTACTTACTTAGTCTTCCTATAGTATGGTTTTCTGATAAATTTTCTTTGGTTCCTTCTTGTCCACTGAGCAGACACAACTCAACTCAGCATTCAAGGTACTTTGTAACGTGGCCAATCTTCCCAATGTTATTTCTGAAAATTATGTGAATCTCTATAGTGCCACTAATAAGACTATATCATGTGTGTGTCTGTTATCTCTGCTATAAAACATCATCTCAAGGGATGCCCTTCCCTAACACTATCCTACCATCTCTGCCTTTCTGGCCCCAGCAATTGAAATATGTTCTCTTCTTCCTCTGAAACCTATTGTACTTAGAATCTTCTTCATGGCACACCACAGTTTGTATCATGCTACAGTTATTTGCATTCTTCTTAGTCTGCTCATCTCCTCCACCTCCCTAACCCCTGATATACCCAACACCCTGCCTCAATTGCTTTCATTTATTAAAATAAAGACATTTCTGGCCAGGTGTGGTTGCTCACACCTGTCATCCCAGCACTTTGGGAAGCCGAGGCGTGCAGATCACGAGGTCAGGAGATAGAGACCATGCTGGCTAACACAGTGAAACCCCGTCTCTACTAAAAATACAAAAAATTAGCCAGGCGTGGTAGCATGCACCTGTAGTCCCAGCTACTTGGGAGGCTGAGGCAGGACAATCGCTTGAACCCAGGAGGTGGAGGTTGCAGTGAGCCAAGATCATGCCACTGCACTCCAGCCTGGGAGACAGAGCAAGACTCCATCTTGAAAAAAAAAAAAAAGACATTTCTGTAACTTACCATCTTAAACCCTAAGGCAAGTGATATGAAACTAAACTCCTGACCGCTAGAATTTTTTAAAATTATGGATTCCTAAGCCCAACCTCAGATATAATGGATTAGAATTATGTATTTCGGAAATCCCAGATCATCTCTTCTGACAATCAGTCAGGCTTGGAAACCACTATTCCAAACCACCATATTCATGGCCAAGACCTCACTCCAGATCAGTTACATCAGAATTTCTGGGGTGGGTCCTGGGTATCTACAAAAACTCATTAGGTGATCAGTAGAGCCAGGGTTGAGAATCTGGCATAATGCCTTCTGTATAAAAACCAAGTGTATCTATTGGTTGAAGAAAAAACTTCTAAGCCTTAGAAATCCCTATTTAAAAATTTCAGGTAGGTAGATAAGTTATTCAACAGGCAGTGATGTCTTTTTTGGCTGGTCAATCAGACTACCGAAGAAGACACACATGAGCAATTTGCATAAAGCCAATCCTGAATACCTATTTTAAAAATTACTTTGTGGGCTGGGTGCAGTGGCTAATGCCTGTAAATCCCAGCACTTGAGGAGTTTGAGGTAAGCAGATCACATGAGGCCAGGAATTCGACACCAGCCTGGCCAACATGGCAAAATCCCATCTCTACTAAAAATACAAAAATGAGCCAGGCATGGGGGTGCATGTCCGTAATCCCAGCCACTCAGGAGGCTGAGGCACAAGAATCACTTGAACCCAGGAGGCAGAGACTGCAGTGAGCCAAGATCATGCCAACCTACTCTAGCATGGATGACAGAGCGAGAATCTGTCTCAAAAAATAAAAATAAAAATGAAATTATTACTTTGTGGAACCTCTAGGGCCAAAATGTTAAATGGCAAATAAATCTAAATGTCTTTTTAAAATTCAAATGTGGCAGAGCTCATAGTATTTATGTTATCACTTATTTGCCATGAAGTAATGGTGTATACTCAGGGTATATTGTTTGCTTGTTAAAAACGAAAATAAGTTATGGTTTGTAAATGAGCATTCCTATCTGCAAGTGAATACACTGATGATGCTCTATAATCTGGGATTACCACTAAAGTTTTAATATTATTTATCCTGTCACTTTTACTACCTGCAAGTTAGCATGTAGGTAAAGAAGGCTAAAAACACAAAAGTGTGAAAAAGCTAGGACACATCTATATGAAAAGTATAAATAATGCTTAGGTTTAGACAATTCATTATCCTAAAAGGCCACAAAATCTTCCAAATTTAAATTACTGTAGCATAGCCAGGTGTGGTGGCACACACCTGTAATCCCAGCTACTCGGGAGGCTGAGGCATGAGAATCGCTTGAACCCAGGAGGTAGAGGTTGCAGTGAGCTGAGACTGTGCCACTGAAAACCAGCCTGGGTGACAAAATGAGACTTCATTTAAAACAAAACAAAACAAAACAAAACAAAACAAAAAACTGTAGTGGACCTATGGACAAATAACAAAAAATCAGTTATTTCTGACTACTTTTTTTTCCAGTATCTCTCAGTGACAAACTTTACTTCTTTTAGAATTTAAATTATAGGCCAGGTGCAGTAGCTCATGCCTGCAATCCCAGCCTGACATGAGCAGATGGCTTGAGCTCAGGAGTTTGACACCAGTCTGGGCAACATAGTAAAACCTCGTCTCTACCAAAAATACAAAAAATTAGCCTGGTGTGGTGGCAAGTGCCTGTAGTCCCAGCTACTTGTGAGGCTGAGGCACAAGAATTGCTTGAACCTGGGAGGCAGAGGCTGCAGTGAGCCGAGATCATGCCACTATAGCCTGAGTGACCGAATGAAACTCCATCTTAAAAAAAAAAAGAATTTGGCCAGGAGCAGTGGCCCGTGCCTGTAATCCCAGCACTTTGGGAGGCAGAGGTGGGCAGATCACGAGATCAAGAGATCGAGACCATCCTGGCCAACATGGTGAAACCTTGTCTCTACTGAAAATACAAAAATTAGCTGGGCATGATGGGTCACGTCTGTAGTCCCAGCTACTCGGGAGGCTCAGGCAGGAGAATCGCTTGAACTTGGGAGGCGGAGGTTGCAGTGAGCAGGGAAAGTGCCACTGCATTCCGGCCTGGTGACAGAGTGAGACTCTGTTTCAAAAAAAAAAAAAAAAGTAAATTATATATTTCGTTTACTTAAAATAATGACATTATTCATTTTGCTTAGAATTCATCTATTTATCTATTTGAATAAGTAACACTATACCATGTATATTGTACAAAATTCAAAAAGTACCAAATGATATATAAAGAAACATAAATGTCCTTTCTACCCCTTGTCCTTAATCTCCTTCAGTAGCAATCACTGTTCCCAGTTTTTTTGCAGTGTCATTTGTATTTGATCTCACATAGTTATAATACAAGCATGGGTTTTAATTTTTAAAAATTTAAAATGTTCTTAACTCTCAAATAATTACTTTGTCTTTTAAACCATTTTCCTCTTAAGACAGTAATGATACAAACATGAAGAGGGAAACAACTAGGAAATAATTTTTCAACATCTTACATTTACTAATTTGCAAACTGGTATGCCCAGGTTTAGTCATAATCCATCAGTCCATTTGCATTGAGTTACTGCCTATTCACGAAGGAGCACATTTCTCTACGCTGCAAAACGTTCCCATTTAAGCAAGAACAAATACTGCATTCTCTAAAGAAAATGATGACTTTTTGAAAAAATAGTTATTAAATTATTACACCAAGTACATCTTACCTGCAGTTTTCTAGTGCTGTGTTGTTGACACTTGTTTTTCTCGATGATCTGCTGGTAGAGTCTAGCTCTCAGCACACTCAAAGCTATTTCTTTATTTCTTATCTGTGATCTTTCTTGTTGGCATTCTACTACTAGTCCTGAAAAATAACAGGGATCAGAAGGTAAACTGCAGGTTCCACAGACCAAATTAAGATAGAACTAAGGAACAGTTTAAATGTAACAGGTTAATCAGGAAAAGATCACAAAAGATAAAAACATTTTAGGTTTAGCACACTTCAGAAACTAGCTGGGTTATGATGATAGCTGTAGTTGGCTCTTTGGATTCTGATGTGTAAATGAGATGTTCTGTATGAGCGCCCAAAAAGCAGCAGCATCTGCAGATGGTTACCTATCTTTCAGTCCCTGAGCCTGGCCTCTTCTTTCTAGCTCATCCAGGCATTTCTGCAGCTCAACAAACAGCAAATTACTGCTACTCCCTATGCTGCACTGCTCCATTCTCTGTCCAATTCAAGAACTCGCCTTTTCCCCTTTCAATCACAAATATACACAGAGCTGAGGTTTTAAAAATACCTTTATAGAAAGAAGCCAATGGAAGGATGCTACTCAGAGCTTTTAAAAAGAAGAGTTTACAGGGAATGTTTCTGAGTTGTCTGAGTTCTAAATTTCTAAGTTGTTCTACATAGTCTGAGTAAGCAGGGGTCCAGCTAATCAATACATCTAACCACAAACAAGATTTGGCTGGCCAGCTTCTGCATTTGGATGGGTTTAGCCCACTGTGTAGTCCAGTTCCTGGCCCAAATCCAGCTCTAAATTGATCACTTCTTGAGGCTGTGTTGTTCTTAACTTTGCAGCTATCACTCAGAAGGTCCGTGTCTAATCCCGCTCCTCAGTAAATTAGAGGAGAAAGGGATTTTTTTTCTGCATCACAAAAACTAAAAACCAAAAACCCCATTAATATAGCCAATCTGCACCAATACAGTGGTAAATATTTTGCTGGAGATTTAAAGAATTTCTATAACATTCTATTCTCTGAACTATGTTTTCTCCCTGTCTAAATAAGCTGCAGTCTCTACCTGCTAATACTTTTAGTAGGGCACTGAGGTTTCACCTCTACTAGTTTAAACTTACTTCTTGACTACTTCACTGCAGCCATCTGGCTGGGCTGGGGGCACTGACTGGCACCCATTTTCCAGGTATTTGTCTGGAGTTTCCTTGAATCTCGTATCCTTTTTGTACTACCCAAAAGAATATGAACATTTCCATTTTAAGACGGCTTGGGCTTTCATGAACTTTCCTCCACATTCCTCTTCTTGTCAGGGATGATCAGAGGTCAGGGCCTTCACTGCCTCCAGTAATAAGTGATGGCCCCCTGGTCCCACTGCCTCTCTTAATCTGTCTTTTTCTCATTCCTTTGTTGCCACCGAACTTGGGGTACCCATGGGTGATGTAGGGCTGGCTCCCTACATTCTGGTGCCCAACATGGGGCTCATGGATCCCTATGTTCTGGCACCCAATGTGTAGGGCTCACGGACTCCCTACAATTAACCATATTGGTGCTATAGTGCTGCAGAACACCAGAACGAATTCTTCCTATCCAGCTGTAATTCTGTATCCTTTACCCAACCTATCTCTATCCTCCTCTCCCCCTTGCCCTTCCTAGCCTCTAATCATATTTCTACTCTCTGTAAGTCACTTTTTGTAAAGTCAGCAATTTATGGCTACACAGGGTGGTTTTACAACCCTTTAATATGTTTTAAAGTATTCTGGTTTATTTTGTCAGAATTTTGATTACCTTTTACCCTATTTTTTACTCATTTTAATTTTTAACTTATCTTAAGTTAAGTATTAATGTTCTGGACTGCATATAATATAGAATGATATCCAACAGTACAGGGTTTAGGTGAAACACATTAAGTATCCAACAATTTATGGATTATTAAAGTAAATTATGGCAAGTTACAAAAAGCATAACCTCAGGTTGGGCACGGTGGCTCATGCCTATAATCCCAGCACTATGGGAGGCTGAGATGGGTGTATCACTTAAGGTCAGAAGTTTGAGACCAGCCTGGCCAACATGGTAAAACCTAGTCTCCACTAAAAAGACAAAAATTAGCTGGGTGTGGTGGCGCATGCCTGTAGTCCCAGCTACTTGTGAGGCTGATGCAGAATCACTTGAACACGGAAGGCAGAGGTTGCACCACTGCACGCCAGCCTGGGTGACAGAGCTAGACTCCATCTAAGGAAAAAAAAAAAAAAGCATAACCTAATTTTGGGGGAAAAAATGGCATATTTTTATATGGATAGAAAAGAATTTGAAAGGATGTATACCAAAGATACATGCCAACAATGGTTCTGGGTTATTATTATGGATGTTTTGTTTTGCTCATGCATATATTC